CGAGTCTATGCTTTGCCTACCAAAAATCCATATATTGCTCAAATTACTCCAAACCTTAGAAGTAGATTAAGAATACTATACAAAACAACTTTGTCGAAGACTGTACTTCGATTTGATCTTTGTACAAAAAGCTACTAACCTTTCACATTAGGCCAAGTGTCTCATACCTACCAACAAGCTCATATAAAGCCTGTACTCGATTTGCAGTTTTCGACAAAGTTTTTTTTTTTTTGCATAGTAATCCCGAACTATTGTTCTTATTTTGAGAATTTTGTGCAATATTTTTGGTAATCAATTGGCATTAGGTTTGTTGCATTTCTTATACATTATTCCATACAAAATTTCAAATTCTCCTGCAAATTTATCACCTAAATCGTTCAAATTTGATACCGTTGTTGCTGACCTCAATACACTTTTGAAGAGCAGTGGGCAACAGGAGGTTGTGATTCAGCATACAAAGTTGATCCACCCTAGTGGTCACTCACTGATATTTCATATGTGTGCCCCTAAAAAGGAACACCCATAATTGTTCAACATCTACACACTTTAGATCCCTCTATTTAAAACCAGGGTACGGGTAAACGTGTCTGCTATCAGGGCGTCTTAAAACTTGAAAAAACAATTATTTTCTAATATTGGTTTTTCAGTTCAACTGTGCATCAAAACGCGGACTTGTCCTTCTTCAGGGGATATAAAGCTGTATCGTCTATCGTTCAGCGTTAAAATTATCACGATCTTACACTAAGACTAACTCTCTGGAAATCCCAACCTCTGGATCGAAATGTTGACGATGATAAAACTGTAATCAACACTTTTCTTGACGACTGAAAAGCTGAAACAAATTACTAATTCCTCAACATCTACAACATTTTATAAAATTCTAGATTTTTTTTAAGTGCACCGCTAAGGGAACATGCATAAATAACATAGAATTTGAGGGGGAAGGAGGGAGAGGTTCAGAAGTTGAAACCAGCCATGTATTAGGTATAGCAAAATACGTTTCGATGTGGGAGGGTGGTCTGAAATCGGTCAAACATATGCTACATCATTTATGTAACAATGATTAGTTCCCTGAACTTCAATAAGGTTCTCAAGACCTCTCATTTTTTAAAGCTTCTACCATTGCACACTGGGCCAGGAATGTTCTCTAGCGGAGGAAAAGTAGGCTGAGGAGATTTGACGTCTTAAGAAGAAATATTTATTTTATCAAAACAAACAACTTTGCCAAAGTCGTCAAGCCTTTAAAACGCCATTTCAATGCAATGAAAAAAGGTATTGAAAAAAAAATCCACTAAAATGAAGACATCTCAAAAACCCAAAATCAACCTCTCTCAAATTTTTTGATATTTTGTTTATCGAGTATTGTTGAGTGTTTGCTGAAAATGTTAGGTTGCGATTTTTTGCGCTTTTTTTCAACAATATCTTTAAAATTTGAAGCTTAAACCAGTTTGTTTCTTAACGAAAGTTATTCATTTAATGCATTTGCATAAAAGAAAAATATAACCGTATATAGTTTTTAGCAAAAAACCGAAACAGAAAGAAAAAACATATTTTCGACATGTTTTTTCTTTAACTTCATATAATTCGGAACCAGTAGGCTGTGGAAATTTTTCGTCTTCAAAAGAGTAGTATATTTTGTCAAGATGAACAACTTTGCCTAAGACATCAAGTCTCCAAAACGTCAGAGAAAAAAATTAGAATGTGGCGCCATCTTTGCGGAAGAGATTTGAACTTTTTGTTTATGTCAATAGATTGTCCTTGTTATGATGAGAAACTTTGCGGAAGACACCAAGTCGCGGAAATGCTTCGTTTTGGAGTTATTAATTTTGCGCCGCTAGATTGCATACCTGGCCAAGTGTGCATTGTCCAGAAGAAAATTGAAGTGCCTTGTAGTTATTTGATCTATTCTGAAGCATATTTAATTTTCCCGAAGATTTCAATACTTTCTTGTAGCTAATGAATCATTATTTGAAATCTCTTAATTTCCCAGTAGTTCCTGAAATTTAAATGAAGTTATCGGAACTTCTCTTTCGGTTCTACATTTTTCCTTCTCTGAAGTCCCTGTAAATGTCTAGTCATTTTGAAATTCTCGGCTTCCATGATTCATTGGAACTTCTTTAAAGCTCATTTAGCTAATTACTAAAATTGCTTTGCTCAAAATACTCGGAACACCTATGAAAATTATGAAACTGTATGACATTTTTAAAACATCCCTGAAGCTCTCCGGACTTTCCTAAAGATTCCGGAAACTTGTTCAAATTCCCAGAAATAGACTGAGTTTCTTAAAATTCTGAAAAGTTCCTTGCTGCATATATTTTTGTGAAAATTTTGCTGTCTCCTGGAAGTTAATTAAACTTCCCCGATGTTTTCTGATTTTCCCTGATATTATCTAAGCTACTCTGAAGTTATCATAATTCTCCTGACGTTCTTGATACTGACCTGAAACTAATGATAGTTTGATAGTTTTCTTTATTGAGAAGGTTTTCAGCCTTTGGCTGGTTCAAACTGTCTAAATTTTTTTAGACATTTCAAAAGTTTCCAAAATATGCATTAAGTTTTAGAAAATTATCTGGACTTCCCTGCAATTTTCAAAGATTCTCAAAATGTTGCTGATATTATAGGTACTGTCCTGAATTTATCGGAACTAATCTTTACAGATCCTTAAGCATTCTGGAAATACATGATGTTACTGAAGTTTCTAGAAATACTCTTAAGGTATCTGAGCTTCAATGAAGATCTCTAGACTGAGCTTCCCTAAGGTTCTTGGAACTTCTTTGATGTATCCACAATTTTACTCATGTCATATGGACTTCTCAGGAGTTGTCATGCCTTTCCTGAAGTTCTTTGATTATCCCTGGAGTTCCTAGATCTTCTTCAAAGTTCTTGAAGTTTTCTTGAAGCTAATGGAACCATCTTGACGTTCTCGAAGCTGGCCAGAAGTGCACGACATTTATCAGAACATCTTTTACTAGACTCTTCACGATTCTGTAGTGGGCGTTTTGCTTGATCTATACTTAGTGTTCTAGATGCACATACAGTAAGTAATTTCCAACAAGTACTGGGAGCTCTCTATGGATATGGCGGGACGTAAGAGCGGGCTGTATAAAATTTCTTCGAAAAACTGCAAGATCCGAAAACAAAATCTGGCGTATCCCAAAGCGTATGTTCACTGACTTGCATCATGTGGCTGAGTATGAAATGCTGATCCCTGCAGTCATCTACATCATGAGGCAGGGACCACCTACTGTATCCGAAAATTATACCCGTTACAAAGCCAACAATGCAAGACTAGCACCTGACTCAACGGCAACAAATGGCTAGAGCCATGTAGCGAGACTGAACTAATCTCACTATTATCAGAAAGATTATACTTAACAGATCAACTGTGCCGAAAACAGGAGCTTTCCAAATCGTCAGGATCGTAGCATTTGAGGCAAACATCAAGCAGTTCTTTACTCTGAAACCACCTAGCGAGCAATTTTTGAACTTCTCTTGAAACCCGCGGGTTCTTACTAAACCAAATTATTTATTGGAAGACGGAAATTTTATATAAGGTCGTATTATTTCTTAATAAATAATTACTATCCGCCTGAGATAAATTGATTTATCATTATGCATTCGATTCAAAAATAGAAATAATTTGCAAAATGATCAAATCCACATGACTTTAGACCAGTGTGACCATTAGGGTGGGTCAAGTTTGTATGGTGAATCACAACTGCCCACTGCTCTTCCAAAGTGTATTGAGGTCAGCAATAACGGTTGGACGAATTTGGTGATGATCTGAATTTGAAATATTGCTTAGGATAATGTATTGTAAATTAAAACAATTCTGTTTATGTGGTTGCCAAACGTTAAAATATTGCTCAAATTTCACGAAAAATTGACAATAGTTTGAGATACTAATCAGAAAAACTTTGTCGAAAATTGCAAATGAAAAGAAACCTGTTTTGAGAAAATAGTTATATTTATTTGCATTCAGACCTATTGCTCCATTCATGCCCACAGGCATATATATGAACTTGTAGGTACGTGTGGAATACTTGGTCTAAAGAGAATGATTAATAACTTATTGAACATAGATCAAATATATTTGCAGTCTTTAACAACATTGTTATACATAGTATTCTCAATCTAAGTCCGAGAATTGATATGAGCGATATTTAGAATTTTGGTAAGCAAATGAATAAGGTCGTTCAGTTCCCTTTACATTTTCCCATACAAAATAAAAAAAATTCCCGCAAATCGAGATTACAGGAGGATGTAAAGTTGACCCACCCTAGTGATCACTGCTGTTTATTTTATTGGAGGAATAGTTTCAAGAGAACTCCATCACCATTAATAGAAATGGTGAATTTGTTAGTGTATACTAAATCATTTGGTTTTGAATAATTATTGTCCAAGGTGGATCTACTAAAAATAGGTGCATATGAGCAGTTCCTCGCCATCTGACGAACCAATTTTTTTTTTCAATCTGCTGTTAGCTAAATGCAAATATTAAAACGTGAGGACACCTCGTCTCGTCATCCGGTGACAACATTCTTCAAATGTTGTGAGACTGTCTAACTGCTATTCCACACTCTTCTTGCCTCAATCTATGAACTCTCAATCACTGATGACTTATTAATAAGTCCTTAATTTGCTACTTCATATAAGCCTTCCTCATCAAGCTACTGCACCAAAACCAATAGCAAACAGTTTGTCAGTATTTTGTACTTTGTTGCAATCCAATCAGAGACACTCCTACTGCATCACCCAAATCAGCTCTGCGTTGCGATGCGCTCCGTTTCAACAAAAGCCCATCGAGATGAATCATTATGCAATTCACTCAAGCATCCATTGATCTCAATCTTCCATCTAACACCTCTTGAACCAAACACTCCACTCCAACCGAGTGGTTTCAATTTCACTTTCGTAGCCACTTATCAGCTGCCCTGCTGCACCAAGTCCTTAAACAAACACCTTACACCCATCGGATCCCATATCTTTTCAACACTCACTCTCAACATATCTACTGCTTTTCTTGGATCTATAAGGACACTTGAAGTGGGCACTGCTATTCTCCTGGCACAGGTCGAAACTATTAGTCAAAAAAATGCCTCACAGCACACTCTTCACTTGATGGTTAGATAACTGTTTAGTACGGTGCTACAAACGGACATCTGATGCTATTCTGGACACTGGACTAAGTTTTTATACTACCGTCGTTGATCGCCGATCTAGGTACTAGAAGTGGTCGGTACAGGTTCGTCTAAACGCGTCATTGATTGTTTTGCTTCGAGGACTTCTGGTCGCGCACACACACTAAACGCATGCGACGATTTTCCGAAAACCCTCCCCCCCCCCTTCTACCCATACACAACCTAGCCTGACTTTGATGGCACAACACTCCACCTGCAAGAACACCTTCCATGCTCGATGGAAATATGATCGGCCAAAATATGAGCTCAACAGATCGTCATCGTCAGCGACCCGGGCGGCTTCTTTTGAGTGTGTGAATCGGTTAGTTCGCTACTAGTTTCGATGGCTTTGCTGACAGGCTGCTACGTGCGGGGAGTTGAACGATGATGGAAATGTATTTAGTTTTCAATAACGATGTTTCCACCCAGAAAACTAACGAAACGTATGCCGGGTTTCGCAGCAAGCGCGTGGTTCTTTGGAGTGATTCAAACAACCGTTAGGCTAGTAAAAATGAGCAGTTACCGATAGCTAATCGATAGCAAATGAATATCTTAATGGGGTTTGATACCAGATTTTGGTATGCTTGTGGTATAAAACCTTGTTTTGATTTTATTAAGCTATCGAAACACTTTGTAAAATATCAAATGAATACCAAAATAACAAATTGTGATCTTTCAGTTTTTAGACAATAACACCTTAGAGAGTTATTTAATTGGTATTAGAAGATCTTCAACATAGCAAACAATGGTATTCTGGCATCTAAAAAAGCGTCTGTTATCCGTCTATTATTGTAATAACTAAATTATTTATTATTTCGTTATGTGTAGAACATTTTTGAGGTATTATTTTTGGTATTTTACCTTTTATGTCAGCCTTACTAATACCATATTTAGGTTGCCAGTTATGCTATTTTTATACCTGAATTTAGTTTCAATAAGTTATTTTTTCCTGCTCTGGGGGAACGTATCAATTACTTAATAAGATATGACATCAAAATTTGATATCGATTTGTTATGATTTTGCTACTTACCTCTACTCGAGCTCCTAGATCCATAATCACTTGAATCCCTCGTGCTTTTAAACTGAAATCGTACTTTTATCCGCTGTGATCGGAAAATTCACCCGTCCTATTCGAACTTGAGGAATCATTGGAAAAACAACCCAAACCCACCACCGGACGCCCTCTAGCCAAAGTGGCAATCGTATTGGCATGTGCGCGCGCACATACACACATCCAGATGTATGTATTAGAAGCTTCAGATTCTACCCTGCCTGATGGATGGATGCAAACTCGAGACCTATCCATTACTACCAGCGGATGACGGTCTCACCACAGAGACAACCGTACAAATTTTCGTTTCGCACCAAGTTTTTCTTTAATTGAGCCAGAACTGTGGCAATTTCTAATTAGTGTGCTATTAGTTTTCATTAGTGTGCAAGAATGGTGAAATCTGGTTACGGTTCACTAGTTGCTACTCTGCACGCCGCCCGGTCTCGATGGGTGATGGATTCTTGTTTCAAGCGAGGGAAGCCTGTTTGATGGGCGAGCAGGTGGAAACTTCGATCGGGGTGGTTTTATGATACGTGTGAGAAACTTTGCTTGAAGGTACATACATTGGATATGGAAGTTAGGAAGGAAGGAGGAAACATACATGCACCGAGTGTGTAGTGCAATTTAGAAGTGAGTACACATTTTTGGTTGTTAAAGTTATTGCAACCAGCAGCGGAAGGAAGGTTGTTCAATTTCAAAAATGAAGGAAGCGTTCATGAAAAATCTGTAACACACGCGCCGGACATGTTTATTGTATGAGATCAGTGAAGGACGACGATTACGGTGGTGTGCGGTGACGTTGGAGTTGGCGGTGGTCGTATTCTTCGGCGTATGTGGTTTGAACCATTATTGGAATGTTGATTGGTCGGACGGGTGGTCTTGGATTGGTTGCGACTTGGCGTGACAAATGTAGGTTGTACTTGACCGCCAAGTGAACTGCATTTTTATGGAACCGGACGGCAGCAGATTGAACTAGCAATTTGCCAGAGCGGTAATTTACCTCATTGGGGTACCAGAGAAGGAAACCAATAAACGTATCGAAGGTTAGATTAGGGTCGCAAATTGAGGACATAGAAATTCTTGTAAAATACCCTTGAACTTCATTATCCGTAAAACATAGTTCGTGTTTAATATTACTTTAGACAAAATAACATGGATTACATTTTTTTGCCACTTTCCTTGTAAAACGTTATACTATTTCCGAAAAAAGGCCTGGCTAGAACAATGCTATATTTTCTTGTTTCAATGAAAGATAATGTTGGTATTTCCAACATGACAAGGAATCAACTTTAGCTTGGTCTGCTTAACAGCCGTGACGATTTACACGCATGGCTACCGAGAGATTCCAAACAATTCATCGCAAATCCAAGTCAACTGGAAATTTTGCACTTCAGCTATACTGCCTATTAGTCCCATGTGCAATTTCATAATTTTGATATAACAACACTATCCACTATCAATTGGTATCTAATTATATATTATTCGATAAGATTAAAGACTTTGATCAAGAAAAATGTGTCACATTGTAATCGATTTTAACTTGAAAGAATTATCGATAAATTTACTTTGATATTTTAAATAATAATTTTTATATACTTCGTTAGTTCGACTGCCTTTTTCTCAATGCCCACTTTTCCCATATGGGACCGATATGCGAATATAGGCACTATGGAATGGCATGAATATTAAATACAAATTTGCAATTTTTTATAGTAAGCACAGGTTAAAGAAAAGGTAATTAAAACAGGAATTTATTATTTTGGTGGAGCTCTTCAGTCTATTTCAAAAAGTTGTTGCTACCATTAACTTCTGATTATCGCAGTCGAAATAGGTTAATTGCCAGATTTGAATCATTAAGATTTAAATAAAACTATGATTATATTTTCAACAGATATTTAGACTGAATTTTCCATAGATATTAAGACTAGAGTGTCACATAAGCCACCGATGGTATAACACGACAAATGTATGAAAAAGACTGGTACACAGGAGGAATTCGAATTTATTTTCTTAATACAGTCTACTCTCAACAACTCGATATTCTTTTTTTTTCCTTGATTTGTTTTCCGTCGATCTTGTTTTCCGTCGATCTTGTTTTCCGTCGATCTTGTTTTCCGTCGATCTTGTTTTCCGTCGATCTTGTTTTCCGTGCTGAGCACCAATGCTACCGACGCCAGGAAGGCAGTTCCTACACCTGGACCCTAACTATTGACCCCTCAACTCATGAACCGGGGACCAACGGCTTTACTTCCCTTCCGAAGGAAGGCGTGATCAGAGATATTATGTCTCAAAACATCCCTGTGGCGCCGACTGGGATTGAACCCAGGCCTACAGGGGTGAGAGGTAATCACACTTACCACTACACCACCGGCGCCGCTAACTCGAAATTCTATAACTCGATAGATTCGGAGGTACCTTAATTTTTTCATGTTTCGTACTCTCCATAAGTCAATATTTTCACAAGTCTCACATCCGTGATTTCAATGCTAAAATCAAAGAGACTTTGGAAACATGACAACTCGTCGGCAAATTGAGTACCCAGATCCATTCGGCCACATCAGATCATGTTTCTGGTGTCCTTGGGATAATGACCCTTATCTTTAATTCTTACCAAAATCAAACATGAGGCAAATCAGACTTGAGTACTCAGGGCAGAAGTGCCAAGTTTGGCAACGAGATTGAAAAATGTCTTCACCTCTTAAATAAAACAGAATAGCGGGATACAGTAACTTAATAAATGTTCAGATTTTTTTTTAGTTTCGGAAGTTCAAGAATCGTTTTATAATTTTAGGTACCATAAAACGGGGTAACATTGATGATTTTTTAATGTATATTCTACATATTTTTTACAGCAATGAATATTTTTTAAATTTTATATTTTTAAAACAAGTACTGAGGATCCAGGAGTTAATTCGTTATTTATTTGTTTAACGGAAATTAAAGCATGTGCATTTCTTGTTAAGTTGTTTGACCGAACATCAGTATTTTGATTTGGGGTTACTTTGATAATGCTCGATAAATATAGAAAAAAATCGTGAAACTCAAACTTTTCAGTTCTTTAAATATGAAACTTTGAATGAATGTATAATCAGAAAACATCATAGGCAATACGAATACAACATTGGATTTGTGATGGCTATATCGGAAATACATTTCAAAAATGATGGTTTGAGTGCTTTTTCAAACAGGCGAAAATACAAAAATGGTTTTTTAATCTGTTTGCAAAATATGTACACATACTATATAAAAACTATATACGATATCAACGGAAATACCCTAAGCTACAACATGGAACCAATATTCTAATTTAGAGACAGCGCAGCGAGTTAATCTTTATATTATACTATCAAAGATATCCCGTTTAACGGTACGTACTAGAATTCTTTTTGTAAGTGCACGATCTCTAAAGTTTTTCAAAGTCTCTGATATTTTAAATTGCATAGAACTTTTCCGAAGTCTGAGAATGCTACTGAGATAAATACGTGCCATAATCACGAATTTTTCAAATAGGTCGAAAAAAGTTTTTAATTGTTTCAGACATTTTGGGAATTGAACTGATTGAGATACGAGACAATTTTTTTTAAATTTGATTGATTGGAGAATCTTCAGGACTGTTCTTCTCAGACTTCCCAGATTCTGAAGAAAAGAAAATTTTATAGAACTGAAGCAAATTTTAAATTCCAGGACCTTAATAAAAATAAAACTTGAACAAAGTTTTAGGATTCTGCAACAAATATTCAGATGTCGGATCGTGAAATGATTTCCAAGATCTCAAATTTGAAAACAAATATCAATATCAATTTCAATTCCAATATCATTGATCTTAGAAATTTCTAAGATGGGATTGTATAAAATATTCATGATTCTGGAATTTCATGCTATTACCTTGAGAATTTATGAAGAATTTTGAGCTGTAAT